TATTTTGAAATCACATCAAGTAAATAAAAAATATACCCTAGTCATGTGACCCTATCTTGTGATGAAAGTAGCATTTGGCACTGGGTGGCAGCACAAAATGGGTCTTCGGTCAAGGCAGGAAGGCTACAGAGGGGTTCGTAGGCCCAAAGCCCACACCTCCCTGTATATCCCATCTTTCTGATCTCGATGAGGGCCCAGAGTCTAGGGCAAGCTCTCCGGCTACATTCATCATCTTTGGGGGGAAAAATAGTATTTAAAAAAAAAATCTTTCTATCTTTCAAATGTAAGTGTCCTGAATAAATAAAAATCAAACTGAGCAAAGTTTATCCTAGTAAACCTCAGGAACTGCCTTCAATTTAAAATGATGGGCTCAGGGTGAATTCCATGCTATGTGAAGTTTATCTAACTTACAATAAAATGAGAGGCCAGATGGTGGCGCAATAGTAATGCAACCAGAGCCACACGGGAAGGGTCTGGGTATACCCTGGGGCCACTAGGTATACACTGTAGGTGCTCTCAGATGTGCTGTGATCCATATTGGCTGAGGACATCACAGGGTGAAGATCTTGGTTAGGGTTTCCAACTCTCTTTCTCTGTGTCTCTCCCTTTTTTGGGAGAAATAAATAAACATTTTAAAAAATGAGAATGATGGACCCAGATTAACCCTACTGTCATAGACATCAAATATCTCAGTTCACTTTCAAGCCACCCAACTATCTAGAACATGTTGCCTGCTGCCATACTCAGGTATGCATTGTGGGTAAGCAGGTATGCATGCTACAATTTCTGCCTACAAGCCTTTGAGGTGTTGTGTGTATGTGTGTGAGTGTGCATGTGGGTGGGGTGCACACAACATAAGCCCGAATGAAACAAGGAGACAGGGCTCTTCAGGAAGCAGTCAAAGTGATAGGACAGCACCTACCCCTGCAGGAGTAGAGAACAGGGTGACCTCAGCTGGGCAGATGGCAGCCCTTAGGTGCTCAGCCCTTAGGATGCTGGGAGAAAAGGCAATGCAGTCTCTAGGACCTGAGGGCCAGATCCTATCATCCAAAAGGCCATGAGGCTGGTTACTCCATTCTCCACAACATTGTGGTAGAGAAGACCTGAGGAGAAAGTCAGGGAGTGAGAACACTGAAGAGGATGACCTAAAGTCCCTCTTACTTCTTGTGGAAAATAATAATAATAAGCATGCTATTCTGTAAAATTCTTAGCAAGAAGGTTAGTACAAGTACTGAGCCTCAGACTGAGCCTCAGACTCCAGCAGCTGCCTCTTCAGTGCCTGGATATACCTAACTTTGAGCAGGGTACGCAAACCTGTCCATGGCACAGTTTTAATCATCTATGAGACAGTCATAAGCAAACGTACACCACACAGGTTTATTAAGAGGAGTAACAGAAGACACACTGGTAAAGCATTTGCTCCATGCTTGATAATAAGTGTTTAATTAATGTCAACATAATACTTCCTATGTGCCAGGCACAGTTTATAAAATTTTACAGATATTGACTTATTTAATCCTGACAACCACTTGAAGTACAGGTATCTCTATTATACAGATGAGAAAGCAAGCAGAGAAATGTTAAATAATTTGCCTAAACATAGACAGCTAGTACACTGCAGTATGGTATTTTTCCTGTCAGTATTATTAGTGTTAAAAGCCACTTAATGCCATTTGTACAATTTAGGTTTAAAACAGGAACAGGGGCTAGATGGTGACGCAGCAGAAAAACCCAAACTTGTGAGGCTGAGCCACATGGGAAAGTTCTGGATTCCCATCTCCCTGAATATGCCAGGCATGAATGGGCCTGTGATCAGAGGCAGGTTGAGGCTGAGGGTGACCTGCTGGGGCTGGAGGTAGATCATAGTGTCAAGAACTTGTTGAGGGTGATCGCTCGCTCTCACTCTCTTTCTTTCTGTCTCTCTCACTCAGAGAAGAAATAAACTTAAAAACTCTTATTATAAAAAAAAAAAGAAAGAAAGAAAGAAAAGGAAAGAAAGAAAACAGAAACAGACACTGACCAGGAGTTTTCTTTTGCATTCCCTCTAACGGCTGCCAATAGTTCTAAATGAATCCTGAAGCTGGCTAAAACGCTCTACTGTCTTTAATTCTGAGTGAAGAGACAAGTGGATGAAGACTGCATTTGGCCGTTGTCTAGCCAGTTCTCTCCCTACCTGTGGTAAGGGATGGCTCTGCAGAGATCAGGGCAAAGGAAACCTGGAAGGTGTGTGTGCATGTGCACGCACGCATGCATGCACATGCATGTGTACAATATGAGACAGCAGGCAGGAGTGAAGAGGACAATAATCCTCTCTAGCAGGGTTTGATAGCTGCTGGTGGATTACCCTCAGAGAAAAGACGACAGCACCAATGCAACCCTCCAGGGACTGAGCAGCAGCGTCCTCAAGGTATAGCTCCAGTTCCTGTGCTGAGCCCCAGGTCTGGACCTGGAGCATCCAGGGAGGAAGGAAGAGGCAAGTTGCAGCAGCCCAGGCACACAGTTTTATTAACTCACTGCGTCCACAGGTGGAGTCTCCTCACACTTTAGCCAGGCGCCCATGACATCAGTATTCTCTGGGGTGATCATTAACTTGAAAACTATTTTGACTACAGGTGCCAGTGGGTATGTATTTGATTTACTTCAGGGAAAACAATGCCACAGAATAAAATCTCCAATAATATTTTTATAGTAGACTCTTTTCTCCCCCAAGTAAAAACTGTACTACACTCATTCTACCTTTTCAAAAAATAATAATAGCACATAACATAAGCCTACCAGACAAATTTATGAGTAATGACATAGCCTATTTTTCAGCTCATTTGGCTTAATGTACATGAAATGGACTTTAATTGCCACTCATTTAGGCAAGTAATTCCAATAAGAGTATTGGCAGAATCTAGTGAATAATCACATTAGGGTGTAGGTGGAAAAGGCATAGAAAAAATGCAATAAATAATATGAATATTTTCAAAAGTAATCACAACCTAGGTTTTTGATAACAAGTTGTGATGTAATTTACACTAAGCTTCCTAGAGTAAAAACTAAATTGATAATCCTTTTTGAGGATAAGTAACTTTCTAGTCTTCCAAGACTTCGCTAAGATACTTTACTCTCATGCCTTACCCCCAAAGGCTTCTGCCCTGGAAGGTGCAGATCTGTGTGGGGTGCCTGTCTCAAACCTATAACACACTGATACTTAAGCACTTCCTATTTCTTCTGCTTTGTGTACATCTCCAATGTGAGAAGCAAAAGTAAAAACCCAAATACAAATATCATCTCAGCTTGCTATATTCTAATTGACAATAAAATCAATTTTTCTTCACTCTGCTCATTCGGCATCTCTTTCGTCAATAAAACACATTTTGCAAATCGCAAAATGCAAATACAATAAAAGCTGAAAGATAACTGTTCCTGTTTTAACGACATGTGGACAATCTTTCAGAGTGGATGCTTTTTTATAACACTCCCTTAAACTACTAAGAGAAAAAAGGGAAGTTTCAATTAACATACCAACTTAAAAATTACAAGGCATTCATGGAAAAAATGTAATTAAAGGAATGGCCAACGCTTTTAACAGTACAAACTTTGGGTGAGCTCAGTGGTTTGCATTTAAGATTCAAAACTCTTCAAAAGTCAGCGAAGGTGCAATGAACATTTCCAGAAGATAAACGCAAACTATCATCATCACTGTTAATAACCAACATATGTATTCCTCTAATGTTTATACACTCCAGTCTCCCAAACTAACTTTGTACTGTGGGGATTTCCTGAGCTTAATTCATTTAAACTCAAGAAATAAAGAAAAATATATGTAATTAATGGAAAGTGACGTGCTTTTTACATTGACTATACAGAATCAAGATGTGATAAGACATAAAGATATCATCATTTTCAAAAAGCAGATAAAGTAGCAGATAGCAGTGTGTACCTTGGGGAGCTCTGTTATGTAACTAAGAACAGGTCCCAAATCAAGATGAAAGTTAAAAGTGAAGGCACAGAACTGAAAGCCAGATTCTGGTATATAAGACTTTCTCCCAATCATAAAAATGTATACATTTCTATAGAAAAATGAGTGTGACTCTGGTACCTACCTGTAACTGGCATATAAAAGTTCAAGCAGCCGACAGGGATAGTATCCAGCACTACTGCAAAGCAGAGAGCCTCCCCATTGGCCCTTCCAATTTAAACCCTGACGCTGAAACAATCTACCTTCCAAATATCAGAGATTAAAAAATAAATCGCCACTAGGGATAATTTCTTTGTAACACACTTCTTCCTAAGTTTAAGCAACTTCTATACTTAAAACTATCATCTGCTTGCTTTGAAATAGTTTAACAGTGTTATCTGTCAAAAAGTTATGGCTAGTAAGGTACTCCCCCCTCTTTTTCAATGAAAGAAGCAGTCTGTGGCCTTCTCCCGTGCAAAAGTAACCAAATTCCTAATGATCTACATTTTGATCTACTCCTCTGATAGCCTGCATTCGAAATGAACTGTCTTAACTCCAACCTTTCCTATCTAATATCTAATCATTTTTCAGGTTGCCAGAACGTAATAAACACAAGCTAATGAAATGATAAAATATAATTCCACATAAAGCTCTAGTCAATAAGCTTTCTGAATATCCCGCCTAACAACTAAAATTGGAACCTCATCACATTGAAATGACAATCTTCTGCTGCATTCAAAACCCGGAACTGCTTTATCCATTCGTACTTCTCATTGACTGGACTGACAAAGAGGAAAAGAACAGGAGGAAAAAAAAAAAAAAACTAAAGTCATGAGGCCCTCACCGCACCCCCAAAGAGTAAACTCACACTCGGACAGCGCTGCAGCTCCGCCGGGGATTAATGGTGGGAGTGAGACCTTTCAGACATTCAGAGAGCCCCGAGAAGGAGCAGCGTTTCCCCAGATCGAGTTCACACACATTCTGCATTCAACACGTAACATCCATTCGGCTTACACCCTTATATTTCATGCTCGAATTCTGGTTACCAACGTACATTTCGGTCCCGGGGGCCTGGCCAGAGCTTTTCTGTTCTTTGTCTTGTGATCTGCAGGTCAGTTAACTACCCTTGGGAAGTGAATGTTAGAGCTGTGGTTTCCAGACAATCTCCCCACGATCTTTTAGCTCCGGCATGCACGCTCCCTCCCTCTCCCCAGCCGGCTCCATATTGCTGGGCAGGTCCCTCCAGTCTCGCCAAGCCTTATTAAAAGCTGGATTTCCGGGCGGTTTCTAGACCCCACTAAATATGCCTCCAACAACCTGCCCAAGCTTGGCCCGCACGAGACGCCGAGGTAGGGCCCCAGCGACCAACCGCCCTGAGGCGCACTTCCCCCACCCCGGAAGAGGAGGCCGGCAAACTTCGGAAGGCGGGGGCTGGGGGGCGAGCTGCTGGGACCCCGCCTGGGAAAGGGCCGGGCGGCTACCCGGGCTGCAGCCGGAGGGCCGCGGGAGAGGGATAGCTCCTTCCCGCTAAAGCGAAGGCAGCGATCCGGGAGCCTTCCTGGTGTGAAGGGCCGCAGAAAACTGCAGCAAGCGACCGCGGCGACCCTCGGAAGTGTGCGAGGACAGAGGGAAGAGGGAAGCCCGAGCTCGCCGGCAACTCCGGGGGCAAACGCGCCCGGCAGCATGCAGCAGCAGCTAGAGGATCAGGGAAACTGGAGTCAGGAGGTGGCCAGGAGCACATAGAACCCCAGCGGCGAACAGGGAATGCTGCCGGGAGGACTAGGGATGCCGGTCGCCGGGAGGGCGGGCGACCGCCGGCATATCCCCCTCCTCCCCCG